AAATTACAGAGTTCCTACATTAAAAAGAAAAAACGAACTCATCAAAACTTGTAATAAAGAAATAAAGAAAAACATAATTAAGTGATTGATCAGTCAATCTTTTCATTAAAACGCTAGATCACTATTCAACTATTTTTTGTCTGTATTTTGTTACTCTATGGAGTTTTCGTTGATTTTTTTGACCCTTTCACCAAAGCTTGAGCTTTCACATTCAATTTTTTTTGATACCGACTCAACTACACTGAACGTAAAACGTCTGTATCTATACTTTTTTGTAAATTTTGAGTCATTTTAGATTTGATAAACTCGATATTTAATTTTTTGAATCATAACTCGATCATAGCAATGTTGGGCGTTGATTCAACGTTTGTCACATATAATAACAGCCAAATTACAAACAGTTAAAAACAATTATGAGTGGCAATGTGCGCTATGGTATGGGTCCACTTAGTCAGCTAAAATGTACTCACGAACAATTATAGAAATTTACTGTAAGACTTTAAGAGGGTGAGAAACTCGTAAGGGTCTTTTTTATCAAACCTCTATCGTAGCAAGGTGGATCCAAGTTGAATCAGATTTTTCTGCATAAAATTACGTTAATAGCAATTTTTACACAATTTTGTCTAATTTTAGTAAGAGTGAGAAACTCAAAAGACTATTTTATTTTTTAAACCTTTTTCGTTGCAAATTAAAACAGATTTTGTTGAGTCAATTTCGTTAATTCCAATTGAGACATAATTTTTGTCTAGTTTTAGTACAGTCGCGGTTAAATTTCCTTCGGTCGCGCCCGTACCGCAAATTGCCTCAGTCCGCAAAGTCTGGAAATACTAAATTTCAGTCGCAGCAGTCTGGAAATACCAAAATTTGGTCGCGACCGTCTGATCATAAAACCACAACCTCGACCCAGGTTTATTTATCAAACCTGTAGCGTACGAAGGTGGATTATAATTATAATAAAATCGATTATTTTCTCTTTTTACTGAGTGCGCGTTGAGTCAGGTTTTCTTGAATAAAATTACACTAAAAACAATTTTGACCTAAGTTTGTTGTCTAAATTTAGCACGAGTGAGAAACTGAAAATGTCTGAATCTGTAATTTTAGGATTGAGAAACTCAGAAGGTTATTTTAATAAGCATACCTCTATCATGGCAATGTGGGCGTTCTTCTCCCCCAGAGCAGCCTGGAGTGCGTCCTGCTTCATCTGCATCACATCCGCCAACTGTCTCCTCCTCTCACTCTGCATCTGCTGCATCCTCGCCTCATTCTCACCCAACTCACCCGCCATCTGGCCCAGCTTCACCTCACTACAACTCACACATTGCACTCATGGCATTTTTCAATTATTGTTATTGTGGACTAAGAAGTTAGAAGCCAAGCAAATTAGACGACCGTAAAAAATGGAATTTAGACGACAATTGGCATTTTTTCAATTAATAATATTGTGGCCTAAGAAGTTAGAAGGCAAGCAAATTAGACGACCGCAAAAAATGGAACTTAGACGATAATTGGCATTTTTTTAATTAATAATATTGTGGCCTAAGAAATTAGAAGGCAAGCAAATTAGACGACCGCAAAAAATGGAATTTAGACGATAATTGGCATTTTTTCAATTCATAATATTGTGGCCTAAGAAGTTAGAAGGCAAGCAAATTAGACGACCATAAAAATGGAACTTGGACGATAATTGAGATTTTTCCATTTAATTTTATTGTGCCTAAAAAGTTAGAAGGCAAGCAAATTAGACGACCGTAAAAAAAACGGAATTAAGACGATAACTTTTTGTGAATTTAGAACCGATAGTTTAACAAACCCTAATATTATTTTTAACCTCTTTAAATGATATTTCTACTTTTTTTGGTATGGCCGCTGAAAGTGGGGAGGAACTTTGCCTTAGGGTATGGTTGCTGTTTTTTCTAAAACATTTCTACGAGTCGCAAAATTTAGGCACCACAAACAAAAAATCATCAGGATGTCATCTTGTATTATTGTACAAGTTTGTATCATTGCATCGTTTTGGTATTTTTTGACATAAGTTTCATCCAGCTAAAGCAAAGTATTTTAGAAAAATATGCAAAAATTGAGTTGATTGATGTTTTGATGAATTGACCTAGAAATGTGTGAGTTTTTCAAAAATCACGGTTTTTAAAATCTCTAATTGCAAAGCTTATCTGCTAATCTGTTTTTTGTTTTTAGCTGTGATAAAAGCGGCCCCATCTGAAAAGTTTTTAATAAGAAGTTCGACAAAAAAATGACATACCTATTTTTCAGCGCTTTTTGTAACCTTTCCACTTCCAAAGCTAATTCCTCGACTTTGCGGTGAGCCGCGGTTGTAACGTTATTGTGTTTGGACAACACCGCTTCGCGAGTCATAGTTATTCTAGAACATTCTTCCAAAGCATGTTCCAGTTCCGAAATCCTCTTGTCTTTTTCCATGATAACTTCTTGAAGCTCGGCGGAATCGAATATTACGTCACCTTCTCGTTTTCGAGACTCGGTTAAGAGCTTCTGTTGCATAACATTCTCGTCGCTCTTAACTCGGCGCATTTCGTTTAGTTTGGCTTTGAGTTGAGCCGCGACATTTTCCAGTTCGTTCACACGTCGTTCGTGAACTCTTTTCTCGTCATCTAGTTCCTTCATGTTTTCAGATGTCTTGTCCAGAATGGATTGGGTTCGGGTTAGTTCGTCTATGTAATGGTTGACCTGTAAATACGATTATATTTACTGATTTTTTATTTTTTTAAAATAAAATTAGACCCAAAAACGGAACAATATTCCCTCAAATTTAGTTTAAAATGACCCGCACATTTCTTATGAGAAGATGTAGGGTAGTTTGTAAGAGTTAACATAAGAAATAGCGCCAACGAGGACTTTTGAAAATTTTGCAACGACCAGAAGATACTAAGATAGACGGGGGGTGAATTTTTCTTGGTATGTTGCACCTTCTACCATAAAGAGGTCAAATAATAAAACTGACTAAATGCGAAGATGCACAGAAGAACATTGTAACATTGTACAGTTTCACAGTTAAATTTACCGTTGATTAGGTACGGCTGTGACCTCTAGAATTGGTTCTCTCGAGGGACTCCTGGGGAGGGGGGTTAGTCTGTTTTTATACCTGTTCTTCTTTATTTGGAACTCTGGGGGGACCCCTGGAGGAGGTGATTGTCTGTTTTATACCTGTTCTTCGAGCGCATCCACTTGTTTCTTCAGCTCCTGTTTCTCCTTGATCAGTGCTATCTTCTCCTCCTGCAGTCGTCTGACTCTCTCCTCCCACTCACTCAATTCCGCCCCCTTCTGAGCCACTGAGATCTCCAAACTCTTCAGCGCCGAGTCCTTAAGTAATATCGAAGAATAAAATAAAGTTGAAAATAATTTATAGTATTTTAATGGAATGATACATTCTCGATAGCCCGAGTTGACCTCCATGAACAAAAAAATCTTGTCATACAAACCCATACAATGATTGTATATAAAATTTTTCTCATACCATTTTCATGTATAGATTTTCTACATGACTAGAGAAATTTTGAAAACCAATCCAATTTTTTTTGTTGCAAAACGTTTTTTTTCTGTTGCAAAATCACTTTCGTGCTCCAGAAAAAAAAGTTTACAAAAACTACTGATTGCAAAAGTTGGCGCATTTTTTTCATAACGTAGTCCAGGCTACTTTTTGAGCGAATCAAAATTTAAAATTTTCATGCTTTCTTATGGTAAGATAAACTTTGTTCGGTCAATAAATAAGCCACAATTTTCAATCTTCAAGTTTTTTTGGAATAAAAACTTTCTAGTCATATACAAAAAGTTACGGTTTCTAGTTATAACTCTGGGTAAAAAAAATACAAAGTATTAATAGGCAAATCTCTGAAAGCAGTTGACCTGTGCGATTCTTGCCACTTAACCACAAAGCAATTATTGGAGTTTCTTGTAAAATTCAAAAGGATAATATGCATTGTGCTAGATCATACGGTTTTCATAAATATACAAGATTAGCCGGTTGCTAACGAAGTAGCACGGAATAATTCGACCATACTCATAAAAACTACTACAAATAAAGTTCTTCAAACTAGTAAGTTCTTCATATTAGGTTCATTTTTTCCGCGCTGTGATGAGAAAACTATGAACCAGCTAAAAATTTAGTACGATTAGGCAAAATCGATAACAGTTGTCGTCAAAAAACATCAAGAAACAAAAAATTGAGAAAAAAAGTTTTCGAAAAAACTTCAAAGTTTTTCCTTTTTTTCGAAATTATTTATTATAAAATTTATAAACTTTTTTTTGTCAGAGAGGAACTGAATATAATTTTTAAAACTTGTTCCTGTCTGGAAAACCCAAGTATATTTAATCTAAAAGTGCAAATTTAACAAGTTAACATTAAATGATGGGTCAAAATTTAATGAAAAACCAAAAATTCCAATCTGTTTTTTTTGAAAACTTTTTAATGTCGTTCAAATCGCGACTGAAAGGGCTTTTAAAAAATATAATACTTAACTCAGTCTGATGGTTATTTGTGGTACCTGATTTTGGGTAGAAAACAAAAAGAAAATTCTAAAACACACCCGAAGACAAATTTACTACATTTTTTGAAGGGTCGGAACAAAAATTGGTTAGCATACAAATTCCATATACGACAAATACTTGCCGTAAAATTTATCACAATTTTTGGTACGCTTGGTAGGCAATTTTTGGTACGCTCGCTAGTTGTACTAAAATGTGTGATAAGTTTTTTTCCATTAATGGAAATTGTTAGATAAGCGTTTTAGTCAACCAGGAAGTTTAAGCGTAGTAGTCTCCTTAGTTTTAAAAACAGATGTTCTATCTAATGAATTTGAAATTTTTTTCTAATCTTGAAAAAAAATCAATCAAAAAATTAATGCAAATAGGTTCAGGAGTTACAGGTTTAAGATCACTTTAAGTAACAAAAAAAAAGGTTGTCATAAAAAACTATGTTTAAATTGATTTCAAATTGGTTTAGCATGATCTAATAATAGAGCTAATCAACTCAAACGGATTCTAAAGTTCTAGGAGAGCACAATCTTAACGATGACAAAAGAAAGATAGCACACGCGACCCTACACATTTTTAAAGAAATATATTCGTCAGATTAGGCAAATCAAGTCTTCTTCGAGCCCTAGCTAAGATTCTACCTCTACTACTAACAAATGTGTCCGAAAACTTGAATAACCGGAAAATGGTGGGTAACACATAAAATAGAATGGTAATAGAACGGTTCTATTTCGCCAACTGACAAAATATTGACGTAGTTGTTCAACCCAGAAACAATATTTGCCGATTGAACTTTTAGGACGTGCACCAGCCTTTTGAACAATTGTAGTGCTATAAGTTCTGCATGAAGAACGCTGTTTGCCACTAGTTTTTGACCCGTTCAGCGGAAAATTGGATTGCCAAAACCGTAAACCTTCAAAATTATTTCCAGAAAATCTCACAGTCCCATAGGACACAAATGGATGCCCCCGCAAATCGTTACTGAGTGTGAGAGGGTATAGTATCAGCACTGGAATCAGATTTTGCTGAAACAGAGCATCTGGGATGCTATTTTTACTATACTCAAATTTTTAAACATTTGACTGAACTTGGTTTTAAAAAAATGTGTTTCTAAAGACGCTGTGCTGAACAAGATTGTCAGAAGGCTCATGGCATCGGCATATTCGCCCAAAGATCTGATTTTGCCGATGTTCTTCCAGCTTTTTAAGGAAACTGAAGTTATACAAAAAAATGGCATCGATATTTCTACAAAACCTGGACTTTGATTTTTGTCCCAATAATGTTAATGAGGAACTTTTTGAACAGCATGATTGAGGACTACAAATTTTCGCGAAAGCTGAAACAGTCTATTGAATTGGAAAAACTCAGCAAAGTTCGCCAAGTTCTTGGTTGGCCATCCAATTTTTGCAAATTGTCGACAACCAGCTGGAACTGATTCGTATCGAACGATCTATGCCTAAACAAAATTGAAAATGGCGACTTTTCAGTGAAATAGTGCAAGCCTTAAAAAGTTCTCTGAGTGCTCGGAGTTTTTAATATTAAAATTTATTGGTTCACTATGGCAGATTTGTGCAATTTTGGGTCCTATAAGACCGACAATAAGTTTTGGAACCTACGCGACTAATTTACAATTTTGGGATCTATGAATACGCTCCAGAAAAATGATGTAAGTCAATTTGGGTTTTGACAGATAATAAAAATAATTTTATTCAATTTGAAATCAATTGGAATCAAATTTTTGTGGAGCATCCCCACTTTAACTCAATTATTTTTTTGTTATCACTGGTTGCACAAATTTTCCGAGAAAATAGATGTTCACACATTTTTTTTTCAAATAAATGCTTCTGATTGAAATGCGTTTGACTTGGTATTTTCATGATTTCCAACGTTTAGTTATAAGCTTCTTCAATTATATGCTTTCAAAAGTATAACTTCATTCAATTCAATTCCGGATAAACTGAACCTGCATAATATTTTGACTCTCTTTTTTCAAATAGGGTATCATACTTCACCAAATTTGACACTATGTTTTTAAAAAAAAAAGATTTATATTTGTTTTTGTTTGTCTCCCTCGAAAACATTCTTAAGTGCCCCGAATTGAAATTGAGTTTGGATTGAATTTGCTGTTTATGCTATGAATAGGTAGCGATGATAGCTATTGATGGAGGAACCCAATGATGAAAAATTAAAATTATGCAAACAAATTGAATATTAAAATAGCTCAAACTTAATTTCAAAGTCTCTTGAAAATGAAATAAACAAGAGGCGTTTATATTGGTGTGAGATTGTTATAAAACCAGCAGACAATACAATGGAGAACGGAATTGTCAATAAAAGTTCGCGACTAGAATCGGTACAAAGCGCGGACTAGTAATAATCATAACAAATTGCTTCCAACTGAAGTCATCACACGTACAGAATTACAAATGAAGAATTCTTTTTACAAAAACATCATTTGAGAGAGCGCCGTAAGACTAAATTGAGTGTGTTTTCAGGCGTCTCAGAGCGAGAATCAAAACTTTTTTTGGTACCCTTGAAGTTAGGGGGAAAGAAAGCCTTGGGTTGAGAGCCCAGCTTGATCACAAAAAAAAGGATAAAAGTTTAACCGTTTGATAGACTAGCCGAAAATGCAAACTCCATCAAACCAAAAGGATCAAATTTTCATTGTAACTGTTTTCAAATTGTTTTTCGTTTTTTGCAGACGAAAACATAAAAAATAATTTTCTAAAACTTAGATCATCCATCGTAACAATACCCTTGATCAAATTATCGGACAAAACACCGCGTCATTTCCCAAAAAACACCTGGCCTTAGTAACTGGAAAAGATTATAGAAAAAGACATATCGCAAGTTTTTAAAGATTGTTTAAGACGCGACAGAGGAAACCAGTGATTGCTTTCTCTGCTTCGCTCCGCTGCTCTTACAATCAGCATGATGGGCATAATGCTAGTGAATCAGTAACTGCCGGTAATCTAGATCACCTTGTTTGGTAAAACTATAAAAATTTTATTTTTTACTTGCTACTGCAAGTTGTCGCTTGTCCATTATTTCTACATTAGTCTTTTTTTGCGCAATGTATTCTGTCGTATTATTTTTTAAGATCGTAGAAAAATCTACATTTGCTCTTATCATTTCGATCAAACTAACAGTTTTCAAAATCTGTAGCTCCACAAAAAGGGTTAAATTTTGAGCTCGGGCATCAATATCTCAGTGATTTTGAAAAATGTAACAAACTTTTAATCACGATATTCAAGTCAGGAGAAAAACTTTTGGTCGAGTTTGAGGTTAATTACAAGTTTCAGCCAAATTTCAAACTAATATTATTTTAAGAAACAGTTAAGTTTAAATTGCCGCACCTTGTCAAAAATTATCTTGCCAAAAAAAACAAACAATTATGCGCAGCATATGATTATTCATTTTCCTTAAAAATCATATTTAGATTTGAATGATTGCTCATTTTTTTTTCAATTGTAGAAAACGAGCGGAATGCTCAGATCTCAAACTGCATAATAATTTTTGGCAAAGTTTCGGATACTTTCAAGCAAGGATACTTTCAAGCAGGATACTTTCGTTAAAAATTAACTTCAATTTTGTTGCAGACCTTCTCATTGGTTAAACATAGACGACAACTTGCAACACAACTTTTTCTGGGAGGGCTGGGAAAAATAATGCGGGGCTTGTTTTTACATGGGGGTGGGAATAGTCACAGAGATGCAAAAAGTCCAGCTAAATTATCTAACCTTTTTCATATTAGCAGTGAGTAGGCTCGACATTTTCTCTTCGTGATCTCGCACTAATTTGCTCTTAATTTGATTGTCTTGATTCAACTCGTGGTTTTTCTTATTCACGTCATCATTCAGTCTTGAATACGAATCAAGTTGATTGTCGTAAGAAAATTTCTGCTTTTCGCTATCGTGCCGTAACTGTTCTAGTAGTTTCTCTCTGTCACCGAAAACCGATTGCAATTCGCTATGTGCTGTCGAAGTTCCGGTTGCATTTTGACCTTGGTGCAACTTCAGAATTTCGATTTGACCTTTGAGGCTATCAATTACACGTTGCATTTCACTCATGCGTTTATCTTTGTAATCTGGGTTGACATCTGAAAAACTTGATTGTCTTAGAGGAGGCGGCGCTTTTCGTTTGTTCAAAAGTAGTTCACGTTCGTCTATTTTTCCTTTCAAAGAATCGATTTCGTTTTGAAGACTTTGGACGTGTTGATCTTTTGTAAAAAGAGCTTCTTTCAAAACTTTGATATGGTGAGATTGGTCTGTATTTTGTTTCATTAAAACCTCTTGTTTCGATTGACTCGCCAAACTTTCGGACTCACGTTTAGAATTTTCAGTTCTCAGTTGGTCGATTTTTGATTTCAGAAACTCAATGTGCTCTTTATAACTTGAAGAAGCACCTAAGTTCTCAGATCTATCTAACTCAGAGCGGTTAAATCTGCTATTTGATTGCAATTGTTTTTCTAAATGCTCGATTTTTTCATCTTTTGATTCCAGAATTTCTTTGATTGCTTGGGCGGTTGGTTCTTGACTACTCGACAACCCAAAAGGAGGCGGAGATTTCAACCTCGTTTCCAGGTCGACCGATGATTGCTTGATAACGTGCGTTTTCAGCTTCGATATTTCTCGGTTCTTTTGATTAACTTGGCTTTTAAGATCCATTATCGTGCTTTCGAGATTTCCAACTTGGTTTGAATCCCCGTTGGGTATCAGAAAAGGGGAATTTGGCGCTTCATTTTCAAGCAAACCTTTCGCTTGAAGCATTTCTAATAGTTTTTGGATAGATTGGTCTTTTGCGGTCAAAGTTTGCTTCTGTGTTTCTATTCTCAGCTCCATTTCTTCAAGTGTTTTCTTTAGCAAGTAAACTTCTTTAGATTTTTGGTCGTTCTCGCTCCGAAGATAGTCTAGTTGGTAGGTGCCATTTACACTGGAAAACGCTGGATTTTCCAAACCAACACCTCCGTTGATTTTGGTCGAGTCTGTACCATTGCGAAGAGCAGCGATGCTTAGCTGCGTTCTCAATGCATTGTTTTCATTTGCGAGTGATTGAATCGAGCCCTACAAAACAAAGTCATAATACTTATCTGACAATATTTATTTAAAAAACGTTTTTTTTTTGTAATTGGACTAAAATCCGCGAGCATCAAAAAGGCTAGAAAGATTTTCAATCCTTTTAACATTTTTTGTAATGCTGGGAAAACTTCCCAGAAATTTCAGTTTTGAGCATATTTTGGACGGTATTAATCGAAACAAGTGCCGTCAAAACTCGCTTGTTAAAATGTCAAAATATGTTTGATGAAAAATAAATCACACCGAGCCCACCTTTACGAAAAATAAATCACACCTTTTACGAAAATTGATTGTAAGTAAGCTAAAAATAGATGTCAATATCAAAAAACGGTCCAAAACAGATTTAGGGAACAAAGTGCGAAGTGGCGGAACCCCTGACTAAAGAGTCCCCTCTTTGGTGTTCTTTTACGACATCCAAAAACCTCACATTATTCTAAAGGCAAATATACCGGGTGTTTACAAAACGTGTTTCTTATAGATCCGTTCTCGTTCAACAAATACTTGGATTATTGAAGTGATTCTTACTGCAGTAGGCAGAAAAAATTTGACGAAATCTGATGATATAATTCATTGAGTTGGATTGATTTATTTCACGCAAGTTCTCGCTATCCAATGATCTTTCACTGCATTTTGTGCTGAACAAGCTAATATAGTGCTGAATTGAAACTACCATATAAAATGAACTAGAACAGAATTTTTAAACTCGTTTTTCCCAAATTCGGTAATGAAATGGACAAAACTGCTCCAAATTTAACCAGCATTTTCGTAGTGCGTTTTTGTTTGCAAAATTATTAACCAAAATTACACCCTTAAAACGGATCGTTTATAAAATTTGTAAAAATCCAGTCAATTTTTGTTTAAAAAATCTGTTTTAGTTCATTTTTATCTGGTTGTGTTATAAAAAATACCATATTGTTGGCAATTTTGCTGACCTTGAGAGATTTAATTGGTTAAAAATTATAGATTTTCAGGTTAATTAGTGTTTTTGTAAACAGTTCTGCGCGTACAAATCAGTGAAACAGAGAAATTTGACGTCCAAATGAGCAGTCTTAGGTTAATTCATTAATATTGGTTGATCAAAAATGTATTGACAAAATTTGGCATTAACTATAACTCAGCGCTATAAGAGCTTGTTCAACACAAAATGCTCCGAAAATTCATTAGCTCGCGAGAACTTGCGTGAACAAAAAACAATCCAACTAAATGAATTATATTATCAGAATTCGGCAAATTGTTGCTACCTACAGTAGAAATGACCTCAATGGCCTAATTATTTGTGAAAAGAGCGCGGATATGAAAAAAAAACAAGTTTTGAAAACACCTTATAGATATTTATCCTTGAGCAGAAATTATCCAAAGAAGTCTAAACACGTAGATATATGGCCTGTTTTTTTTTACATTTTTCCTGCGGCGCAAAACATTTTGTCAAAATACGTTCGTTATACTGTTTTTGGAGGGCTTGGAAAATCATTTGGTCGAACTAATAAAAACTTTCATATGAGCAGGGGCGGATTTAGGGGGGGGGGACGGGGGGAGGGCGGACGCCCTCTCCTCAGGGATTCGACCCCCTGCCGACCCAAAGGTTTCCCCCGTTGATACTTTTTAAGAAATCAATTTTTGACCGATCGATCCTAAAATTTTTCTAAAGGCGCCTTCGGCGCCAATATATACTAACTTTGAGGGGGAGCGCGTGCCAGTAAAACGCGGTTTTTTTGTCAAATTTGTTCAAAAAGTGCCCCAAAAACGGCTTTTTTGACTGTGTTTTTAAAAAAAGGTCGTCAAAATTTTCGAAAATTTTTTGAAAATCCGCCCCCCCCCCCTCGAGAAAATCCTAGATCCGCCCCTGCATAAGAGTCGGCAAAATTTTCATTAAATAATTCGAATGAATGGGAGGATTTTTCAGAATTGAGGGTTGAGAAAAAGTTTTTTTTTCAAGAGTATTGTTTTTATTACCTGAAGTTGGTTATTCTGTTCCAGAACTTTTGCTAGTTGTTCTTTCAACTGCATATATTTCATATTTTCCTCTTTCCTTGCCAGCCTTTCTTTCTTCAACTCTGGGTTCCAAAAACTGGCTATGCTCTTTTCCAGTTCAATAGCCTTCTGGTTGTTTTCATACGCTTCTTTTCTTGCCAGATCAAGTTGTTCGGTCGCTACGCGAAGCTGAGACTTGACGTCGGTTAAAAACCCTTCGCGTGCGTGACGAACTTCATTATTTAGTGGAATGTGACCCCCTTGGTATGAAAAATTGGCGCCCGCGATGGGCGGAGAGTATATGTCTCGGTAAGAGGGACTATATTGATCGGAGTTTGGGTTCGGGTTTGAGTTTTGATGAACGATTCTGCTTCGCTCAGCCGAAGCGGCTCCGGAGTAAGGTCGCTCGGGAATCTCATTCGGGTTTTTTGAACCCGTCTGCCAATGGATCGGTGAAAACATTTTAGGTCGATTATCGAAAAAAAAAGATTTTTTCTCCAAATTTAAGTTAGTATTTCAGTCGATCTAATTTAATTCAGTCCATAACTTGAAAGGAAGGAAGTTGGATGATTTTTTGTAGATAAAACCCCAAATAAGGTCCATGCTATCCTAAAAACAAAACAATTCTGTGTGGTTTTTTCTGCTGCGAAGGTTTTCGGCTGATTGTCTGCAGATCCAGTAAACAACGAAGTGAGTGACAAATTGAAAAAGTATATATTTATTAGACAAAGTTTTTATTTACAGTCGCTCTCACACCGTTTTTTTCTCTAAATCTAAACGCTTTCTAAGTGCGTTCTGAAGGAAAAAAACGGGTAAATTTTTCATAGTACGTCAAAGCTCTAACTAAAAGTTAAGAAGCGAAAAATCTTGAAAGGTCTTTAATTACCAGTGGGTGAAGTAAAGAAATCAACAATAGACCGTAAAATCTCGCGAACGTAAATAATCGATTTCTATCTGTTTTTTTTTAGTCTGTACATGTAAAATAAAACACAATAAAGAAGGTACGAAATGGAAAAATGTTCTAATTTCTATGCAGTAAGAGCAATTGAAATTTATGGTGCTATAAAGCCACAGGTAAGAGCTGTAAACGTAAATGTCGCATGTGTGAAACATTAGACGATGAATTTATGAATCAAACATTCGAAATTGGAATACTGATTTTTTCCGCAGCTAACTTGGGAATTGTATGGAAGTTGTTTTTTTTTTACACTAAAAATAGTTACTGCACCATAAACGTTGGTTTGCAATTTGTACAATTGACATGTATTAAATAATCCATCAATAACGGAAATCTATGCAAAACTTTCTAACCTTTTTAACCACAATTTTTGCATTTTTTTTGCATATGCGTGGAATCTTTTAATAAGAACCAACAAGCAAAGTTGAACATTAAAAAAAAGCAGTCAATGTTTCTTCATCTGAAAAAAACTCTTTCAATTAAATGAATTAATCTGAAAAAACAACGGATTTTCACCACGTTTTAACGTATAATAGATGAAACTTACAGAGCGTAACGGTTTTTTTGCGGTTAGCTTACCAAACACAAAATGAAGTGTTTTTTTTTCTATTTAAGCTGGATTGCATGAAATGTTCAATGGAATGAAAAAAACTGGGACGTTTATTCAGACGAGATGTTAAAAAACTATTGAAAAAATTGGACATCTTACGGATCTTAAGACAATATACTTTAAAGGAATTTTTTGTTGAGAGCAAATACATTGAATCATTTTTTTTCTGAGTTTTAAATCCAGTAATCCTAAAAACTAACCCGTAATCCCAAAAATTAGCCAGAAATTAGTCCCAAAATTAACCACAAAAACCGGCTTCGCAGCGCGTTAGCTGCAAATTACTATTCAATCGAGGTTTTGTTAGGTTCCTTCCGAAAATTCAAAAAAAGCTCATATTTTTTTACTAACAGATAAAAGTTTGATCATGATTCTAAAAAGTAGTATTTTGCCACCGTTTATTTTGACTTAGTAAAAATAGAAGTGCTCGGGCGAAAATTTCAAGCTAACATTGCCCGCTAAATTTGTCGGTTGAAGAATCGATCTTCTTCACAGACAATTTATATATAAATAAGACAGATTTTTGTTTGTTATAACAAAAAAAATCCAAGGTATGCAAATTTTGACCAGTTTTCCAATATCGAAAAAAAGGAACAAACAAGCGGAATCTTTTTATAACCATATATATGTCGCTATTTCGCAAGGGAAACTATTATTTCAAAATTGTGCAAAAGGCAACACGAAATTGCACAAATTGTACAATTCAGGTCATTTTGACACTACGCTTTTGTTCTTCGGGCTAAAATTGAATTAAGAAAGACAAGGGTCTCCCAACGCCTAATCAATTATTACTTCACTAAAAAAATAGGTCTTGATTTTTCCCTTGGTTAATTTTGGTTCTATTTCACAATTATTGCTTCACTAAAAAATAGGTCCCTTGATTTTTCCCTTGGTTAATTTTGGTTCTATTTCACAATTATTGCTTCACTAAAAAATAGGTCCCTTGATTTTTCCCTTGGTTAATTTTGGTTCTATTTTAAACAAAAGATTATTCGACCTGATTTTCAGATGAAGCGAAATGTTCGAACTAAAATTTCTAATATCTATTTTGTTGTTTTCCCACTTATTTTATCTAATCAATCACAAGTTGTAATTTCCTAAGGCATGATGGTAAAATAAATAGTTTAGTAAATGCGAAATCTATCGGAAAGGAAACCAAATTTCAAATTCAAATTTTCATTTCTACCAGGAAAGTAATATTTGTTCTTCGTGTTACCGTAAAAATCGATATAAAATTTCATTCACACGCTATTTTTGCTATTACCTCTCGGCACATTGGTGCTATAATAATAATCTTTTCATACTTTCTCACCGGTGTGTTTTGAAGGATATACCAAACAAACAAGCAATATTTTAACCTCTTTTTCCGATAAATGTATAAAAGCTAAGCATGAGTGAAATTCAGTTTTTTTGCCTCGAAATAGACTTAGAATTTAAAACAGAATCCAATTACTTAACGAGGAAATCATACTGAATCTGTGCACAATCAAATTACCTTCAAAACTGAATAGTTTTTACGCTATAAAATGCGATGAAAAAGGAAAAAATCAAAGAAGAACAATATCTTTTTGAACCGATATAGGTCAGACAGAACAGTCCCGCAATTGCGCTACTGAAATTGATTGATAATACTTTTTTTCTAATCGGTTAACATCGCAATGACATTTGGTTCGCCAGCAGAGCGTGATAGTAAAAAAATAAAATTGTTCGCATAAAAATCCATATACTTCACTTAAACACATGCAATTGAAAAAATATTTAGATAAACATAGCCAATGACTGGCAATGACCATCATGCTAGTAGCTATTCAACCTCTGTGAATGCGATTCCTCAACCTATACATGCATGGATTTATTTTCTGAAGATTGCTGAGGGGTTATCTTGTAACGCGTGATAACATAGGGTGTCTAAACATAGGGGGTTAAATAACGTGGGGTTAAACAGAAAAACACCCAAATATTTAACGACGCGTAAGATAATTCAACGGTGTTATTTTTTGGTAATTTGAGTAAAGCTAAGAAGGAAAGCTTATTTTGATACAAACACTTAAAAATTGACTTGATTGTTTTTATGGGTAAATTTTTATTCAGTGAAGCATCCCAAAATAGATCCATATTGAAGGGAAAATTTGCGGTTCAATTTTCACAAAAACATTGCATCGAATAAATTCAAAAACAAAATTGAATAGTACCTTTTGGCCCGTTTTTTCTACCCGGGGAGCAAAAAATTTGAGCAAATTAAGGTCTTTATAACATGTTGAGAGAGCCCTAAAAATCACTTTGATCCTCCTAAAAAGATTTTTTTTTGAAAAAATGCCCTTAAAACATTTTGGATTTGTGCCTGATATCAATTATCTCCATCACATTATATCTACCTTATTTGATAATCAGATTGAACTGCAGCTAGCCATCTAATCCAAAACTAAAATCTTGGTAAATAATTTTTTGTTTTTCCGGAAAATTTCAATTATTGAAATGTTCCTTGGGAGATATTACTTTACGAGCTTCAGTTCTTTATTTAAATTGTACTGCATTTTTACATAGATTTTTTCTGTTTTTAACGCAAACTCGATTG